AGAACAACGATGCCGCATCTGTCCGATTCCTCTGCCAGCATGGCGCGAACCTGCAGCTCCTGAGCGCCTTCGTCTTGGCAGTTAGGGTTCAGGGGTTTGGGGGTTTAGGGTTTTAGGGTTTAGGGTTTAGGGTTAGGTTTTAGGGGATAGGAGGTTTAGGGGTTTGGTGGTTTAGGGGTTTAGGGTTTAGAGTTTAGGGTTTAGGGTTTAGGGTTTAGGGTTTAGGGTTTAGGGTTTAGGGCTCGGGGTCTTAAGCCCTAAGCCCTAGATCCTATTAGTGCTGTCTAGGGTTTGGGGCTGCGGGCTTAGGGTCTTCAGCAGCCCTAAACTCTACACCTAGAAAAACTTTACGGACGCTGGCATCTCTACTCCTGAGGTTCCCTTCCTCACCCCCCCCCCCCCCCATCTCGTAGCTTTTAGTTTAGGGTTTTAGGGGTTCAAGGTTTTGGGTCGTTGAAGGTCTTGGGTTTACACATGTGGGTTTGAGGGGTTTAGGTTGTCTCAGGTCACTTGCGTTCCCCTAAACCCTAAACCCTAAACCCTAAACCCTAAACCCTAAACCCTAAACCCCAAACGTGAGGGAAACGCCAGGAGTTTTGTTCTTTTGTTTCTTGGGGCTCATCCTTAAATTACAGAATAAGGCTTAGGGCTTAGGGTTTAGGGTTCAGGGTTTAGGGTTTACTGTTTAGGGTGATTCTTCAATCCTGAATCCTGAATCCGCATGGCCATGACAGTGAGGGGTCCACTTTAGTTATCAGTATGTCGTGTTGTAACGGTCCTGATTTCAGTACGTAAACTTAAGGCTAACTCCAAAAAAGATGTGACTGCAGAAACGGGAATTCTATACCGAAAAACCCTACTGTAAACCCTAAACCCTAGCCCTAAACCCTAAACCCTAAACTCTATACCCTATACCCTAAACCCTACTCGGGTCATGTCGAGGGCGCAGGGAGATTTCTCAGACGGAGGCAGAGCAACGCTCTTTGCGAAGCCCCCGACGGCCTCCGAAACCCTTAGCCTTCGAGGTTTAGGGTTTAGAGTTTAGGGTTTAGGGTCTAGGGTTTAGGGCTTAGGGTTTAGGGTTTCGGGCTTAGGGTCTAGGATGTTAGGTTTAGGGTTTAGGGTTTAGGGTTTAGGGTTTAGGATTCCGGCAAATCGTTTAGAGTTTCGGATTTAGGGTTAAGGGTTTAGGGTTCAGGCAAATCCTGGAAGCAAATCCTGGAGCCCTGAACCCTAAGCACTTCTTTTGTAAAGCTTCAACCTTTAGTCTTGGAAGCCCAGTGGTGCCTTTTTTTTTTTTTTGGGGGGGGGGGGGGGGGGGGGGGTTCAAGGTTCCCGTATACCCCTCGTTAAAAGTATGGTTACTGGGCTACCTTTAGGGTTTAGGTTTTAGGGTTTAGGGTTTTAGTAGTGTTTCGGCCCTAACTCGAACTTGAAACCCCTCAAGCCCTTAGCGAGGCCCGCTCAGCGGCCGCTCGCCACTGCATTGTGCCACAGAGAAGGCTGGTCTGAGGGTTCAGGGGTTTTGGGTTTAGGGTTTATGGTTTAGGGTTTTGGGCTTAAAGGATTTTTTGGGTTAGGGGCTTTGGGCTTGGGGGTTCAGGGGTTAGAGGTTTAGGGCTTGGGGGTTTAGGGTTTGGGGGTTTGGGGTTTAGGGGTTCAGGGGTTTAGGCTTAGGGGTTTAGGGGTTTAGGGGTTAGGGGTTGGGTTTAGGGGTTTAGGGGTTTTAGGGGTTTAGGGGTTTAGGGGTTTAGGGGTTTAGGGGTTTAGGGGTTTAGGGGTTAGGGGTTTAGGGGTTTAGGGTTTAGGGGTTTAGGGGTTAGGGGTTTCAGGGGTTTAGGGGTTTAGGGGTTCAGGGGATTTTGGATCTTGGGGATTGGAGACGGGATCAGTTGCAGAATGATGTGCTGGTGCCTACAAAGGTCATCACTAGGACTATTTTCCCGAGTCCAGGTAATGCTTAGGATGAGGCTGCCTAATCTCGCCTCTTCTTCCCAGCTGCACCTTAGATTGCTAGGAAATCTTCAGCGGAATCTGGAAGACCGTATTCCTGGAGGTTCATGGTACTTATTAACCAATTATAACTGTACTTCTAACCTTATCAGGGCACTTAAGGGGCTTATAAGTGGGGTTAGAAGTACAGTTAGAACTGGTTAATAAGTACCATGAACCTCCAAGTAGCCCTAAACCCTAAACCCTAAACCCTAAACCCCAAAACCCTAAACCCTAAACCCTAAACCCCATAATTGGTTTATAAGCCGTTTATTCATCCTCGGCCTTGTGTCTTAGAAGGTCCTAATCCCCAAGCCCTGTAAGGGCGCATGACTAGGAAGGCCATTGGGCTGTTTGCGATATCTCCCCTTTATTGGGTTCAAGGGGATCATTTTTTATCCCTAAACCCTAAACCCTAAACCCCAAACCCTAAACCCTAAGCCCTAAGCGCTATACACTAAAAGGCATTAAAGGGCCAAGCCAGATGAGAGCCGGGATCTCCGCGTGATTCCGCAGTGTGGCTACAGGACACCCGAACTTTGACTGCGACCGTCGAGCATTCATGCCTTTGGCTTCGGTTTAGGGTTTAGGGTTTTTGGGATTAGGGTTTAGGGTTCAGGGTTCAGGGTTTAGCGTTCAGGGTTGAGGGTTTAGGGTTTAGGGCTTGGGGTTTGGGGTTTAGGGTTCAGGGTTTGGGGTTTAGGGTTTAGGGTTTAGGGCATCACGCGACTTGGGCCATGGCGACGATTGAGGTGAGCCTGATCAGTGGCAGGAGCATCTCCTTGGAAGCAGACTTGGAGGCTCCCAACCCAACTCTAGTTTAGGGTTTAGGGTTTAGGGCTTAGGGTTTAGGGTTTAATTAGGGTGTAGGGCGGTTTAGATAGAGGTTCTTGGAAGCCCTTTTCCCCTTTTTTGGTTCTGGATTCCTTCACAAAAGCAAGCACCAAAGGGTGCCCTGGTTGTAATGGGGTTATGCAGCTTCCATGCTAAGCCCCAAACCGCAAACCCCACCTGCAGATTTTCTAGCATTCGGTGAGAAGAAGGTAGGTATTTGGCCTACAAATTACACCCAAAACCCAAAACCGCAAAAACCTCCCGTTGCAAACCACGATCTACACGTAGCATCAACTACCCCCCCATTGCCTATCTTTAACCAACAGGCCCCAGACATGCTATAAGCCCTGTAAAGCACTACGATCCCCACGAACCCTGCAAACCCTACACACGCTACAAACCCGAAGATGCCCTAAACTCTATAGACCCTAAACGAAAACCAAGTACTACCCCATCCCATGAAAATCCTGAGCCGTAAACCCTAAACCCCAACCCCCCCAAGCCCCAAACCCCAAACCCCAAACCCCAAACCCCAAACCCCAAACCCCGAACCCTAAACCTAAACCCTAAACCCTAAACCCTAAACCCTAAACCCTAAACCCTAAACCCAGGAGTCGCTGTTTCTGCTGAGCAGCCGCGCGCAGAAGGCGCTGGAAGTGGGCCCAGGGCGCCTCCTGGACTCCTCTGGGGCGACTCTCGATTCCCGGGCCACGGCCACTGGGATTCGGGTTTAGGGTTTAGGGTTTAGGGTTCAGGGTTTAGGGTTTAGGGTTTAGGGTTAGGGTTTAGGGTTTAGGGTTTAGGGTGGCTCTCGAGGAGGTTTGGCGGGTTTCGGGCCTTAGGTTCCTCAGCCATTTCCTTTGCAGGGCACCTTCTTGTTTTCCCAGAAGTTGTTGTTGTATTCTTCTATGATCGTATTGTAGTATGGTACAGCAGTGTTGCAGTATTGTAGTATTGTGGTATCGGTACCCTAAACCCTAAACCCTAAACCCTAAACCCTACACCCTAAACCTGTAGTACACGACAGTATGAGCCCCAAGACCATGGGTGATTCTTGGGTGCTGAGGCTCGGGAAGCTGGCCTGCGCAGCGGGGACACCCTGACTTTGCAGTTGCTTTTGCTGTTGGTTAGTAGGGTTTCTGGGGGGGGGGGGGGGGGGGATATAGGGTACCCTATAGAATCAGAATCCCTTAAAGGGTATATATAAATAATAGGGAGACCATAGGGTGCCCTGTAGAATCCAATCCCTTAAAGGGTCTATTCTAGGGGGATTTTAGGGGCACCGTCATTCCCTCGTTCCCTCACGAAGCAACAGTAAGGTTGAGGGCCGCCCAGGTGTGCAAGTGTCATGCTGCCTTTGCCACCTGGTAGGCCAGTGGTACCCTTTTTCACTTTTCTTGGTTCAAGGTTCCCTTATAAAGTAACTATCCCCAAAAAAGGGTGCCCTTATTATGGGATGGTTACTGGGCTACGAAGGCCACCATCCTCGGTGACGGTTCCGTTGTGTCCTGGGGCGCCAAGCTCCTTGGTGGCCCAGTGGTTCAGGGTTTTAGGGAAATAGGGTTTAGGGTTTAGGGTTTAGGGTGTAGGTTTTTTTGTTTGCAAGGTTCCCCTATAAAGTAACCAGCCCAAAAACAGAGGGTGCCCTTCGTATCGTATGGTTGCTGGTCTGCCAAGGCTCTCTGGAGGGGACAGTGCCGCAGTGCAAGATCAGCTGAGAAACGTGCAACACGTCCAGGGATCGGAAGGTGCCCATGGGTTTCCCCTTAAATAGCCTTAATCCCTAAATAGCCAAACATTATGGGTTTCCCTACTACCCCCTGGGGGGGAGGAGAGAGTATAGACAGTATAGAGGGTAGTAGGGGGAGCCTATGAGGTGCCTTTGCTGCCATTCTGGACAATGGCTCCGTTGTGACTTGGGGCGATCCACTGTTTGGTGGTGAGAGCGGTGCAGTGCAAGATCGGCTGCAGGGAGTGCAACAGATCCAAGGCAACCGCTCCGCGTTTGCTGCAATCCTGAGCGATGGATCTGTCGTGACCTGGGGCTCAGCTACTTACCTTTAAGCTTTTTGGACTTCCTCATTTAAGTGGACTTTAACCTTTTTTCCCCTTGGAGTTTCCTCATCTAAGTAGGAATAACCTTTGTTCCCCCTGGTTATTGGAGAAGTAAGGCTATGTATGGCGGTGACAGTGATGCCGTGCAAGGGCAGCTGACAAAGGTAAAGCAAATCCAGGCCTCTTGGAATCCTGGTGGCCCAGTGGTACCCCTTTTTTGCCCTTATTTTTAGAACTCACAGTGAAGTTCCTTTGTATAAAGTAAGCAACCCCAAAAAGGGTGCGCTTATGATAATATGGTTACTGGGCTACTTACCCTGAACACCCTAAACCCTAAACCCTAATATGGTTACCGTGCTACCTAGGAATTCTTTTGCTGCTCTTCTGGAGGATGGGTCCGTTGTTACTTGGGGCGATGCAGACACCGGTGCTGACAGCAGTTCTGTGCAAGATCAGCTGAAAGGCTGGGTTTAGGGTTTAGGGTTTAGGGTTTAGGGTTTAGGGTTTAGGGGTCGAGGACCCAGAGTGAGCCCAGATTCCCTTTTGTTTGATTTTGGTTCCCTTATAAGTTAGCCCTTTGAAACCAAAACACGCACCCTTGGTATTCCTGGGCTACTCCTGGGTCTAGGCGTGCAGCACATCCAAGCCACTGATGCTTCCTTTGCCGCCATCCTGAGTGATGGTTCTGTTGTGACGTGGGGAAACTACTTCTTTGGCGGGTTTCGTTGTCATGATTGGGTAACATTTTACATTTCAAAGGGTACTTAAACCCAACAAGGAATAGACATTTACATTTTTTAAGTACTTAAACCCAACAAGGAATAGACATTTACATTCTTTAATACGATCCCAACCATGAACTAGGTTTAGCCGTTCCGTGAAGAACCGGCTGAATGCGGTGCACAAGATTCAGGCCAATCGCTCTGCATCATGGTGGCCCAGTGGTACCCTTTGCCCTTTTTGGGGGCCAAGCCCAAGGTTCCCTTATAAAAGTGACCAACCCCAAAAAGGGTTTAGGGTTTAGGGTTTAGGGTTTAGGGTTTAGGATGAAAAGATGGTTTCTGGGCTACCAAGGCATTTGCTGCCATCCGGAGGGATGGATCCGTTGTGACCTGGGGCAGCGAGAGCTGTGGCGGTGACAGCGAGGCCGTGCAAGATCGCTTGTTGCACGTGGAGCACATCCAGGCAACCAGCTCTGCTTTTGCAGCACTTCTAGAGGATGGGTCAGTGGTTACTTGGGGCGATTCGATCCATGGTGGTGACAGCAGTGCCGTCCAGGGGCAGCTACAGCAAGTGCAGCAGATCCAAGCCAATTCAAATGCCTTCGCTGCTATTCTGGTGGACGGATCGGTCGTGACTTGGGGCGCCGTGCACTCGGGTGGAGACAGCAGCGCCGTGCAACACCAGCTCAAAAACGTGCACCAGGTCCAAGCCACTTTCCACGCTTTTGCTGCGATCCTTGTGGACGGATCAGTTGTGACCTGGGGTGATGCTGACTGGGGTGGCGACAGCACCTTGGGGTCGAAATGAACCCTGAAAGGGTTTATGGTTCAAATACCTTAGTAGGAGTTGCAGTAGTATAGGTACATGACCCCAATTTGGGGGGGGTCATTTGGCCCTAAACGTAAACCGTAAACCCCAAACCCCAAACCCCAAACCCCAAACCCCAAACCCTAAACCCCAAACCCTAAACCCTAAACCCTAAACCCTAAACCCTAAACCCTAACCCTAAACCCTAAACCCTAGACGCCCCCAAGGCAGTGCCGTGCAAGATCAGCTGAAGGACGTGCAAGAGATCCAAGCCTCCTTCCAAGCCTTTTCTGCGACCCTCGCCAATGGAGGGGTGGTGGCCTGGGGCAATGCTTTCTTTACCTGACTACTAGTTGCTCAAGAGCCGCGAAACAAGTAAAAGTATTCCTTCCTATTAAGGGTAATATAGGGAGAATATAAGGATTGTTATCTTGTTATTCTTTCCGGGGTTCTTGAGCAACTAGTAGTTGAGGAAGTTGTTTCTCACGGCGAAGCAACTGGTCTAAAGGGACCTGCAGGAAGGCTCATAGTTTTCCCTGCCGCTGTCATTCTCAAGCGTGATGCCTGTGATCGAGGCGGCACGTTGAGTACAAAAAGATCAATACATTGGGATGTTCCCCCTTATACTAACAGTCCTAAATAGGGATTATAACAGGGGGGCTACGATAATCCAGGGACTGTTAGTATAAGGGGGGAACATCCCAATCAATACAGCTTGTGCTAACTTTCTCAGTCGAGTGTGCTAGCCGAAATATTTGGTACCAAAAACAAGAGCTCTGATACCCTAAGCCCGAAACCCGAAACCCGAAATCCTAGCCCTAAACCCTAAACGTTATCCCTGAACCCTAAACCTATAAGACCCAGCACTCCAACCCCCGAAAAACTCCAACCCTTAGAACCCTTAAAGCCCAAAACCGCATATTAGAGGCTTTAGGGTGTAGGGTTTAGGACCGAACCCCCCTAAACCCTAAAACGAAACAAAACCCAAACCCTAAACCCTAAACCTTAAACACACCTAAGCCCTGAAACCTAAACCCTGAACCCTTACATAGATCTTCACCCTCAACCACAAAAGTCCCTAAACAAGACCCCCAACCCTTCATCAAGCCTTAACCCTTAAAGCCTGAGCCCGTAGCCTAAACCCCTAAAACCCCCAAGAAAAACATCCCTAAACCCTAAACCCCAAACCCTAAACCCTAAACCCCAAACCCTAAACCCTAAACCCTAAACCCTAAACCCTAAACCCTCCGTCGTCTGGACCAGGGCTTCCTCGGTGTCGCCACAGCTCTGGTCTTGGCCCGGGCGGCGGTGGACCAACCCGATCCCAAGGTGGAGGGTTTAGGGTTCAGGGTTCACGGTTTAGGGTTTCGGGTTTCGGGCTTAGGGCTTATAAGCTTAGGGCTTAGGGTTTAGGGCCTTCAGGCCTTAAAGCGTTTTAAGGGGTTTTCGGGGTGTCTAGATTTTCAGGGTTTAGACTTCAGGGACCAAGCTGACCCCGAGGCGGAGTCCGAAGAGCAGGGCCTAGGGATGATACTGGGCCCTTAGCATGGCCCCTTGCCTACCTACCCTAAACCCTAAACCCTAAACCCTAAACCCTAAACCCTAAACCCTAAACCCTTGATGTATGGGCACTTAATTTGTACAGGGGTTATAAGGGGCATGTAAGGGGTTACCCTTTAAGGTTCCATGCTAAGGCGCCGGAAGAAACCTTCTGTCTACAAGTATTCTTCACAGGGGTTACCTAGGCCAAGCTGGGTTTAGGGTTTAGGGTTTAGGGTTTAGGGTTTAGGGTGTAGGGTTTAGGGTTTAGGGTTGAGGGTTCAGGGTTCAGGGTTTAGGGTTCAGGTTTAGAGCCAGAGAGGTCTTTAATGTAGACCGTGGTGCTCTTACAGCTTATATACCTGCAAGAGTTGTTGAGGGAAGACTTGCTCCAAAAGCGCTTACAGGGCGTATGATCAGCTTTGCAGAGGGTTTAGGGTTTAGGGTTTAGGGTTTAAGGTTTAGGGTTTGAGGGGTACATAGGAACCCCGCAAAGCTTGATTGGGCCAGGGTGACCGCCTCATAAGGCCTAGGAGATTTAGTTCCGGAATTTTGAAATCAGTTTCCATGACATATCTACATAGAACACCGCTGCCTTCCGAGATAAAGATCACGTTGGTCTCCTTACTCCTTTTTTGATCTACCTCATATATGTGAGGGCAAAAACCGTCCATAGTCCAACCTTTAAGGTCTGAGTTCTGAATCTAAGGGAAGTTGCATGGACCCTTAATATGGTCCCTTACCTCCTTTAAGGTGGTAGGTTTACGGTTTCCCCCTCTCCCCCCCCACGTGGTTCGTGCTGGGTTTACGGTTCAGGTTTCAGGGTTAAAGCGGTTAAGGTTTCGGGTTTACCCTTCTCCCCGCTGTGGTTCGTTGGTGGGTTCAGGGTTTGGGGTTTAGGTTGAGGGTTTCTCTCTCCCCCCCGGTCCGTGGCGTTTTCAGGGAGAACGGGCAGGGTTTGGGGGGGGGATACCATGAGCGGGGGGTGGGGGTCGACTACGCGGAACGCGGCCGCACATCAGGGGTCCCCTTGTAATAACTTTGTGGTACTTTACCGTAACTTTAGATCCTTACCTTTTTTGGGTTTATTGGGTTTCTTAGCAAGGCAGCTAAAAGTGTAATTTATAGCTACCCTCCTGAGTGCAGCCAAGGTAAGGCCCATACTAAGGGACCATGGAACTACCCTTAGACCGAACGTTGGTTTGGGGCTCAGGGCTTCCGGTTTCAGGTCGACAAGGCCCCAACGTTTAGGGTTTAGGGTTTAGGGTTTGGGGTTTAGGGTTTAGGGTTTAGGGTTTATAAGGGCTTAAAGCCCTAAACCCCAAGCCCCAAGCCCCAAGCCCAAGAGACTGTAGGGCTCCAAAGGGGGCAGTCTCCTCAACTCCCTCGACCCTCAAACCGAGGCCTGTTCTATCCTGAACTCCCTAATTGCCCTAAACCCTAAACTCTAATAGGCCCTAAACCCTAATTGGCATTGGACCACTAAGCCCTAGACCAAACCTGGGTTTTGTGATCCCTACATGGGGGTTTCCGAAATTAGGGGTACCATATAGGGGTCCTTACTATAAGGGATCCTACTATTCGGGGGTCTATGTTAGGGTTCCCTGTTGTCGTAAACCCCCACATAGTCCCCAAAGGTCAACCTTGTGTTTCGCCGAGGATACTGGAAAACTAAGCCTATAAACCTTACATCCTGAGCCATCCCTAAACCCTGAACCCTAGCCCTTAGCCCTAAACTCTAAACTCTAAACCCTAAACCCTAAACCCTAAACCCTAGACCCTATAGACCCCAAACCCTAAACCCTAAACCTTACATCCTCAGCCATTTCCCCTTTGCTTTCAGGAGCTCCAGGGCCATCTTGCGGCGGCGCTCTATGCCCCACGCCCCGGCACGCCTCGGCTTTCCTTGCACCAGGCGCTGCCTGCAGGGTTTATAGGGTTTACTGTTGGGGGTTTGGGGTTTGGGGTATTAGGGTTTAGGTCCAGTTTTGGTTTTGACTAAGGAATCCTAAACTTTACAGCAACCCTTAGCCATGAAGCCCCGAATGGTTTGGGGCTTTAGATGCTGGGCCTGGCTGTTTCAGATTGTGGTGTGGCTTAGGGTTTAGGGTTTAGGGTTAGGGTTTAGGGTTAGGGATCCAGTTAAACGCTCAACCCGACTGTGCGACAGGCTTTAGGGCGTGCATCTGTCGAACAGTGACACTTAGCAGCCGCGATATTTTCCCTCAACCCTCACAGCTCTGCAGAAACCCTGAAGGTAAGGTTGGAACGATGGGCCCGTACAATATACATATATGTATTTACTATTTACATATATATATATATAGAAATAACAAGGGGCCCAATTAAGGGCCCTCAATGCGGATCCCCTACTGAAGCACAACACCCAGCCACAAGAGCCTGATGTCTCTTCCCCGTGGTGCACACCCACTTGGAGGTTCATGGTACTCATTCGCCAATTCTACCTGTACTTATAACCCACTTCTAAGCCGCTTAAGTGCCTTAATATGGTTATAAGTACAGTTCAAAGTACAGTTATAATTGGACCCCTATACCCTAAACCCTTAACCCTAGACCCTAAACCCTAAGTACCATGAACAAGCAGGGGCGCAGGTCTAGGGGTTCAGGGCTGGGGCTTGCGGATGTAGGGTGTAAGGTGTTGTCCAGGTAGCCCGGTGCACCACCAAACCCTGACCCCCCCCCCCCCCCCCCGCCGCCAACAAAAAAAAATGCGGCGAGGGAAGATGTAAACCCTAAACCCTTACAGCTATAGTGCTCAGAACCTAGTTTGGGATCCTTACAGCTAGATCGCCGGCCCCCCTCCCCCGGCGCCCCGCTCTGACCCTAGGCGTCAATCCTTTTGACGCCCCAAAACCAAAGCCCTAAACCCGAGACTCGACACCAGATACCCCCTACACGGTTTAGGGAGTAGGGTGTAGGGTTTAGGGTTGAGGGTTTAGGGGACCCAGCCCCGCATCCCAAGTCCTAAATTCCATCCTTTTCCCAAGAGGCCGTGGAGCACGGCACGGATGCCCTCGTGGGCTTGCTGACTCAGGCGTGTTATGTTCATTTTGTTTTAGGGTTGATGGTTTAGGGGTTAGGATTTAGGGTTTAGGGTTTAGGATTCTTTGGTGTGAGGTTTTTCTTGGGGCTCATAGGGGTTCAAGCGTGCGTGGTGTAGGGTGCAGGGCTGGATGTTGGCTTTGATATAGGGCTTCGCTCTGGGTTTGAGGTTTACGGGCTGTGGGCTTGCGTGTGTCTACGTCTACCTCGTAAAGACTTATACAACCCTAAACCCTAAATCAACCCTAAAACCTAAACCCTAAACCCTTAACCGGTTCAGGATTTAGGGGCCTGTTTGCCTGTAAAGAACCAGCAAGAGGCTGGCTTCGTTATTGCTGCTTTCCTGTGGACAGCCCGAGCCCCCGAAGCCCTGGGCCGCACATTTCATCCCTAAACGTAGTGGCACTTCGTGGAAGATGGGGAACTAGTACCCCAATTTGATCTCTTCAAGGGTGAAGAGGGGGGATATGAAGTACGCATGACTAGTTCATTTCCTTTCTTCCCGAAGCCCTGCACCCGACTACGAAGAACTCGAGGACCCTGAACTCTAAACCCTAGACCCCAAGCCCTGAATCCTGAACTAAACCCTAAACTTAAAGCCCTAAACCCCTAAACCCTTAAACCCCGAAACCTACAACGCCAAACCCTAAACCCTAAACCCTAAACCCTAAACCCTAAACCCTAAACCCTAAACCCTAAACCCTAAACCCTAAACCCTAAACCCTAAACCCTAAACCCTAAACC